GGTAAGTACAACGACCTCAAAGAAGACCGGCGTAAAGTAGAAGTGTTACACTTCTGCGTTTCGTCTCGTGAGTGAGGTAGCCGGGGTCCACTTTATTTAAAGGTGGCAACGCTTCTGCAACCCAACGGATGTTGCAAGTGTCCATGGGCGGTTTTTATCACTTAATCTCCAGCGTTTGCTACTTTGTCACATAAAAATAAATAAAATCATGTACAAAAAAACATCCGTGTGTTCAAAGGTGTCTGTATGGTAATTTCTATAGAAGTAATAAATCATCTCATCGATAAAATATCAAAGGAAACGATAAGGAACATTAATTATGTAATAATTACGTTACGTTTGAAGTACAATTAACGATTCATTCTATCCCTCCTTGAATCTTGCTCAGAACGAGTAGTTCGTACATTCATTGGTTTATGGAAGACGATTGAGATTGAGATTCTATTATAAAATTCCATGGAAATTTATATAGATAATGGAATATTGGCTATGAAATTTATCGGGAGTAGTTTTAGCTTTCCATTCCATACGTTTTGAGATCACAGAAAGAACTAACTAAAAAACAGATAAGAAGGCCATAGTTTCTTTCCGGTTCTTCTATGAAAAGGTCTTGTTTAATGAACCGGTGGTGGATTTTTGACTTCAAAAATAGATAAAAATAGGCTATATTGAATTAAGAAATTTTTCAATTTGACTTTGCAAGGACAGGTTTGTGTCAAAATGAACTATTATATATAAAATCCGTAAACTAGTTTCAGTTGACGGATTTTATCGCGTTTTAGTTTTGATTTTTAATTGCTAACGTTTCGAACGCTTTCCAGCGTTTCTAGTCACGGGACAGACCTGTGTAAAGTCAAGAAATCTAAACATAAAAGATCTCAAAACTAGATATAAAAAATCTATCTAATAATCACTACTTTTTCAACCATTAGTTTTGGTATAGTCTGACTGATAAGGAATTTTATCGCAAATATTAAATAAAAAAAAATCATACGTAATTTGGCCAATTACCTCATGTTTTTTTAGTAAATGAGGAAAAATGTTGAAATTATTATAATTTGGTTTATCATTTCGTGTTTATAACTATGTTTTAAACATTGAACCGTTAAGTCATTATTACGAAGCAATTGATATATAGATAAGACTAGCGACCCGCCAAGGCTTCGTACTGGTGGTAATTGTCATTTTTAGCGTTCCGTACCCAAAGGGTAAAATGGGTATTACTAAGACTCCACTGTCCATCTGGTCCGTCTGTGAGTCTGTCCGTCTGTCCGTTTGTCCGTCTGTCACCAGGCTGTGTATCTCACGAACCGTGATACAGACACCCAGTTTCCGAAAGCGCAATCAATTTTAATTTACGATAAATCTCTTGTCAATCGTTGTTTAACATGATCTGAGTTGCTAGAACGTCTTAAACAACATTGATTTTGATTTGCAATTAGTCACTGATTAACGGACAATCAACAGAAAATCGAATTTCTGAAAGCGTTTTTCGGTGGTCAAAGAGCTGTCAAAAGTTTTATTAAGTAATCTGTCAATTTGGACGATCAATCGTTGGTTAAAATGTTATTTCTCAAAAATCTTAATTTATTAAAAATAAACATAATTCCCTAATACCTATTTATTATTATGGGAACATATCATGTGATTAGAAAAAATACAAAATGTAATTCAAAGGTTAATAAATAATATGGATTCTTTCTTTTTATAATACTTACTTGTTTATGCTTATGGATAAAAGTTCATTTTTTTCACGTTCTGTAAAGTTTTTTTTTTACATTTTGCATGTATTTATATAAATTAAATTTTATTATAGCTCGGATTTTTACGGTGGCAATCACACGGTGACAGGACTGGATAGTGACGTTAATTTAAGTTTTGTTTTAAAAAGGGACAGCTATACAATAGAAAGAGTAGGTTGAAGTAAATCATTCATTTCATTCATTATCATTGGTTATACAGTGATTAGCTAATTTTTCTTGAACAAACCTTCCAGAAACCCAAGGCAGTTTAACAAGAGGTTAACAGCTGATCATTTTTGACATAGTGTTATGTGATTGCTGCTTTGATTGGCCTTTCGGAAACTGGGCATTAGACAGTTGAAATTTTTACAGATGATGTATATCTGTTGCCGCTGTGACAAAAAATACTTAAAAAACGGACATGATTTTTTGCCGTTTTTGTAGATAATGGTATGGAATCCTTCGTGGGCTTCGACTCGCACTTGGCCGGTGTTTAATGTATTTTTTGACCATTTTGTATGCTATAAAGATTATTTATTTATTCATTTGATTTACCTCGTAAGGGTTAGCGAAGTAAGTCCTCGTAAGTGCAGTGTAAGCGCAAATAAATATGTATATTTATATGGTTTTTCTCTACTTTAAAATGCATGTTTATTACATTTAAGCATTATTTTTGAATCACTATCTATTGCTGAAAACTTCATTAAAATTCGTAGCGTAGTTTATAAGATTTAAGTGTATTGGGGCGACTTTATTTTATACTATGTAAAGAAGATAGAGGTCTGCCATTGTGTGCCCATCATCACAAAAAAACTGTTGGAAAGACCTAATTAATTCTTCTAAGCTTAAGCTTTTATAGATACTGATACAAAAGAGACACATGCATTCCTCGTATTTTTTATGTGAGAAGGTGGCAAACGAGCTGCCGGTTCATCTGATGTTAAGTGATAACCACGGATATTTGCCACAACCGTATGGTTGCAGATTCGTTGCCACCTTTTCGTTAAAGGGTGGCAACGCATCCCCACTTCCACACCAAACGAAAAGCAGAAGTATAACACTTCCACTTCACGCCGGTCTTCTGTGAGGTCGTGGTCTTACCCGGACGGACCTGCCCATTCGTGCAACAGCCGAAGCTGTTACGTACCAAACATTCCGTATGAAAATCATCGTTTTCAGTTTTAGTATTAGACATGTGTACACTACTCGATCCTTGGCTGTAGTCTATATTTTTTTAGGTTGGCACAAAAAACACGACGAACATTGACAAGGCGAATTTTGCCATCAAATTTTCTGTGACTTCTATTAGAAAAACAAATGGTCCTTAACATGATCATCATAAAACACAAGAGCTTCCAAATAGCAGCTCGATTTATTTATTTTGTTAAATTTAAAATTAATATATGATATCGAAATGTCAAAATAATTGCGGGATACGGTTGGTTTTGACAATTTGATAAGGAAACCAACCAGTTATCTTTGATCGTTCGTGTCATAAATAAAAATAAAAGTAAGGAACACGGACGGATGCGCGCAAATAACCAGTTATCTATGCAACAAATTTGCTACTTTACATCGATACGTAACTAACTATGTCTGTATTATATTGTTTATCAAATGTGTTTTAGTCGCAGTTTTTCATGTGTTTGTGCCCCATAACATCCATAATTCTTCATCAAATTTAATTATTCCAACACCATTTTGAAGCCCATTTTTACGGCTATGGACGAAAAACAAACAAGTACAATGAAGTAAATGTATTCATGAAAAAAATTTGATTTAAAAATTTATTATAAAGAATTTATGATAACGCCATCTATTGACAATTTAGTTAAATTAAAGATAATGAAATAGAAAACATTCTTCAGATGCCTTTCATTGATAAAAACTTATTTGATTATCATTATAATAGCACTCGGTAACTCTGTGCGAGAAATTCGCATGAATCAGCTAGAAAAAAACTAAACACAAAACTGTCATATAAATACTAGAAAGAGTTGTGAGTTTTGCTTTATTAAAACTTGAATAGAGATTATGTAGACTTGTATAGAGACTCGAGTATGAATTCAAAACCAGCGTCTTTGCAAGCCACCATCCCTTTGTGTGTCACTGAGACCAAGGTATGAAACAAACAACTATACCCGAACAAACTAAAATGTCTAGTGTGTTTATAAGACCGAAGTAGAATATAAGAATTAGCACTTTAAAATCATTTGTATTATGTAACCAATTTTTTCCGACCATCTCAGTTGTCTCAAGGTTGTTTTAAAAATCGAACGCGTATTGACATGCGGCTAGGCGCACATATTAAGAAAACTCGCAAGTCATCAGATAATATATAATATACTGGAACTTGAATAGATAATACATATATACTGGACTGTTGCAAGTCATTCATGATATAGTGGATATGCCTACGGTCACATAGAAACTATACTAATTAACAATATGACAAAAATATTTTACAAGTTATCGCAATTCCTAAAATTCAAATCATTACTTTATCAATGGTGTAATAAAATGGTTAGACATTTATACATGAAATATGTATGTACACTGTCTCAAAAGAATGTTTACTATTTAAGTAATTTCGTTGGTAATAAGTATTGTAAGTATTAAGTTGGTATTAACTCAATTAGAGTACATATTATAGTAGGTACTTTATTCAACTTCAGCTTTTATCAGATGAGAGCCTTCGATTTGAATTCGAGTCTTTGATTCGAATCTGAGTGATATTACTACGTATATCTCAGTAATGTTTCCTTGTGTGTCCTTATCTACTGTTCACGAATTACTGTGTCTCTAAAACCTTCAAATGCCTTAAAAACAAAGGATTTTAAAAACCCTTAGAACGGATAAATTTTAATAATCAAATGATAGTTTTCGGGAAAATCCTTAAAAGCTATTTTACTTTGAAAAATCATTAATAAAAACCAACTTAAATAAATAAAAGAGATATTAACGAGTAGACGAAATAAAACAATTACATAAAACATTTTTTAAACAGAGCTTTATTGTACTAAGTTTAGTCGCCAATTTTATAGTTAACACATATCGAACGTGTTATCATGTTGCGATACGAAATCGAATATGCTAAACGTTTCCTTATTTGAATCTGAGGGCGTATAAAAAATATAAATAGTAGTAACAACACAACGATCTGTACAAGGAAATCTTAACACGATTTCTTAGACACTTCTCTTCTGGCTTAGGGCTAATCACAATTATTTGTTCTTTATTTCTATGTCTTCTTCTTTACTTCTTCTTCTTTTCGACGGCCGGTGCCGGTAAGAACAGAGCGACGCTCTTCTGGAGCAGTTCCGTGAAGATTAGCGTACCGATGAAGACCAGGAGTGTACCGATCCAGTGGCCCAGAGTGAACGGGTTCCTGAAGTAGACGATCGAGAACAGCAGTGAGACGAACTTCCTCAGGGTGACAGTCAAGGTGACCGTCAACGAGGCGCACTCGGTGGTCAGCACGTACACCGCGCTGATGCAAAGCCCCTGCGTCACCACATACAGCACCAGCCACAGCACCTGGCGCGGTATAGTCGCGCCGAGCACTTCCAGCGTCGGGGTCTGCGTCGCCAGTTGTACGTGGCCGATGAGGTTCGGCGCGGTGGGCAGCCAGAAGACCAGCGGCATCAGGTGGGTGTAGTACAGCGCCTCCCACGGGTGCTTCCCGTACTCTGCGTACAGCGACTCCTGGAAGATGCCCATTCTGGCGGACACGAACAGCGCGAACGTCAGGATGGCGATGCCGAGACACCACCACAGCCAGTCAATGAACTTCAGCCTCTCCTCCTCCGCGGCGTCCGAGTGCGTCTCCCTCGGCGCCTTCACGTCGCCGCTCGACTGGATCGTGCAAATGGCGATGCCCGCCGATATCATGAGCACCGCGAGGTACTTCAGCGGCGGGTATCGCTTCTTCAGTATCCAAACGCCCATCGCCATGTTGGCCATGAGCGAGCCGGCGCGGAATATCATGTGCAGCGGCATCGATATGTTGAAGTCGAACGCGTAGTTGTTCGCGACGCTGCTCGTCCAGAAGAAGCCCACCAGCATCAGATACTGCTTGAACGGTATGTTCCGTTTGGCCGTGCCCAATTTGCCCACGGTGCAGAAGCCGACCGTGGCGATGAAGACGAATTGCAGGAACGTCGCCAAGTTGCCGGCGCCCGGGTCCTCCTTCACCACCAGCTCTAGGAACACCACGTTGGAACAACAACCGACGAAGACCATACCAATGGCCAAGGCCGCTATCACATTCATTTTGAATCTGTAAAAAATTATACAAAAAAACCATTAAGGAAAATTTAAGAACGATAATAAGTCATAAAGAAAATTTAAGAACGACAAAAATTCGTAAAAAAAATTAAGAAAGACAAAAAGTCATTCCGATACCGGGAATCGAACCCGAGCCTCCTGGGTGAGAGCCAGGTATCCTAGCCACTAGACCATATCGGATGTTGTAAGCAACGTCGAAAAGTGGATTTATGTTTTTTGTTACTAAAATAAATACTGAATCATTTTAACCTTCAATTTGAGAAACTGAACAAGAATAATTAAAATGGAAACGAGAACAACGCTCATAAATTCTTACAAGATAAAAGGTTAAATTTCATTCATAAAAACGTGAAACACTTTTAGCGCTAACAACATTGTATTTACTTGGAACTTAATAAGATGGATAAATTATACTTACGTGTTGTGAAATTAACAATATAACACCAAATTAACACTAGAATCACAGTTTAATACATATTATGACAAGCGGCACACGTCTGACAACGACCGCGACCGGTGCATGTGTGCGTGACGTAACGATAATGGCGCTGTCTTCGTAGTTTGGCCGTGGCCTCAAAGTGAAGTACGCATGCGCGGGACGTGTCTCCAAAGATAAAGCGGCACTCAAAATTTCTGAACAGTTGCTGCCGATAGATGGTGCTTATTTCATTTTCATATATCACAATTTTTATCGTAAACTTTCAAGTTATCTTGGATGTATTGTATGCAACAATTATTAAATAAAAAAAAGAGTGGAATGTTAAAAAAAATTAAATACGAGTAAACAATGCAGGTAAACAAAAATAAACATGATTGTAAATTAAACGCTTTTTGATGTTGTGATCTGCATCAAGTAATAAACAAAAGTATTTCGTTAAGAATTTAAACTCGTTCCAAATATAGTCTAGTAAGCTATAGTTTCGTAATTACATTTAATATTCAATGGAAAGTAAATTTTACTACATAGTTTAACAAAATTGAGGTGCATAATTTAGCAATTCTGTTAAATTTTCAAGCAATTCAGTTTTTTTTTTTTTTTTTAATTTCTGTGTGTTCTGTATAATACGGTTCAATTATTCAAAGGCAAAGGCGTTCAAAATTAAAACATATATCACCAGAACATTCATTAGAAGTACGATTTATGATGCCATAGACAATAAATTAGCATTTGAACCATTGACCTTTGCATAATACAATAATCGGTGCTAACGTTTTTAAGTGGGAAAGGGGGAATTTATCGGCGAACAGGGCTCATATCTGATGGCAAATAGCTGCGCGCCGGACAAGCGATAGCATTGAATTTATAGCGGTTTTACGTTATTACCATAACAATAATTCCGGGCCCGGACCTTTCGGAAATGGAGTCGTTGGAGGGCGCCCTATGAAATATGGATTAACGAAATTGGGCGAAAGAAATGGCGACATTGATAGCTATGGTGCCTTCGTCTATAATTTCATCTAATTAATACCTTTACAGTTCATAGGAAAGTTGCTTACGTGATTAATAAAATTTGCGCCAATATAATAGCAAAAGTAAATATAAATAAATAAAATAAGCCATTACAAACTTATTCTTACGTGTTATACTAATCACTATGATTTTATTATTACATATGTTTTTGATTTTATTATTTCTAATTTCACTCTGTCACTTCTTCTATCCTTATTACACTTCGTTCGATGCTGTTCTGAAACACTTTTATTTTATTCGATATCTGATCTGTTAAAGCCCACGTTTGACATCCGTATGTTAAGCACGGAAGTATGCAAGTGTTATATATAGTTCTTTTAAATTTCATAGGTATTTCAACATTTTACATTATTTCGCTAAGGCTCCTAAATCTTTTCCATGCATTTATTATTGTTCTATTTATTTCTTTATGCCTGTTATCAAGGGGTGATATTAATTGTCCTAAATATATGTATTCATTAACATACTTTATTTCTTCTTCGTTTATAGTTAGTTAGTTTAGTTCGTTAATCATTTTGTTTTGCTTATATTCATTGACAGTCCCGCTGGAGCACTTTCATTAGCCAACTGTTGCAGCATTAGTTCTAAGCTCCATGAATTTTCAGAGCAGTAATAAATCATCGGTAAAATGCAAATGGTTTAACTTTTGGCCATTTATGTTAAGACCCATATCTTCCCATTCTAGATTTCTAAAAATCATTTCTAGAGCTGCTGTGAACAATTTTGGTGAAATAGAATCCCCTTGACGAACACCTCTTTCGACTGGGCCATTCCCAGTTGGGCCGTTCACCTGTTGTCTCGAGCTTTACTTGGCCTGTGCCTCCTGAGTAAAAAATATTCAGAATCCTGATGTATTTCATTTGAACACCTTGGCACTTCAGGGCTTCCCATATGTATCTATGTTCCAAGGAACCAAATGCTTTGTAACCCCTATGAAGTACATTTTCTTGTATTCTCGATATTTTTGTGAGACCTGTCTGACCATCGATGTGCTCAATCGTAGGAAAATTTGTACGGAACCCAGCTTGCTGATTTGATTGGTTTTCATCTAGTACATGTGCAATACGGGACAGAATTATTTTATAAAACACCTTGTCAATATTGAACATTAAGCTTATCGGCCTATAATTATTTATATAACAGTTGATTTCATCAAATCGGCTAGTATATTCTTAGTTGTTAGCTGTAGGCTTAAGTAATTCATTTGTTATCTAATCAGACCCTGAAGCTTTGTCCATTTTAGCGAGTTTAAAACCTTTATTGTTTCTTCAATCAAAATGAAAGGCTCTGGTTCTGGATCAGGCCAAGTGTCAAGTATCACTCTGTCTTCCGACTGCTTCTTTGTGTACTGTTGTCTATAAAATTCCGTTACAATTCTTAATATTTCTTGTCTCTTGTTAGTGTACTTCAAAATTTTTTTATTTAGATATTTAGATATTTAGATTTAGGTAACCAGTCTTTTTTGAATGGGCAAGCTCGTCCGAGTAAGTACCACGACATCACAGAAGACCGGCTTAAAGTGGAAGTATAATACTTTCGCGTATCGTCTGGTGAGTGAGGTGGCCGGAGCCCAATTTTCCAAAGGTTGTTAACGCATCTGCAACCCTCGGGTGTAGCATATGTCCATGGGCGGCGGTATTCACTTAATTCTCTTCTCGGTGCTAATGATTTGAAATGCTGATTTGTGACGTGTTTGGCGGTGAAGACCTACGAAATATTAACAAAAAATATTTTTGAAGACATATGAAGTCCACCAATGGTGGTGGTCTATGCCCTTGTGTCCTCTGTACAAAGCAGGCCTTTGCCCAGCAATGGGATACACATATATACAGTCATTTTATTGTAAAATAAAGTATATAATATAAAAATATTATAAAAAAGTAAATAATACAACGTTCAAATCTGGTTACAAGAAATCCGAAAAAAGGAAAATTATCGAAGCCGCTGGGTTTCCAACTTGTGATCCCAGAAAACGAGTCTAATGTTAGCTTTCAAAACAGGAATAACACTAACAATTTAAACGGTTACGATTGTTTCATAAAACTATGGGTAACACAATCATGTTTACGGTTCCCTGTATTTATGTGCAAATGCTTATATAGTATTCGAGATTGCCCGTTTTTATTGTGCCATTTGTTACGTTTATACAGAATTGCCGCTCTTATTGTGGGTCCGTTATTATAAGCTACCCTGGGTCTTTTAAGTTTGTCCCGATACGTGGAGGGCAATATTTTTATTACATCTCTCCCGGCGAACCTTTTTAAAGGTACCTTAAGAAATCACACCGGCTGGCTTGTGAAATATATCTCTGTTATTCAGGTCCTAAATGTTTTTTTGAGATTTGTGACGATAGATTAGTCCATGTTTTCAGATGTTGCATCGTTTAGAAATAAATAATCCTACAAATCCGGCAAGAACTTATAACGCAATTATCTTTATGTCGTCAATAATAACGACAGCTGTGTATTTAGTTTTACGCATCTTTTTTTTAATAGATTTATTTGACGTTAAATGAATTGCTTTTATATATTACTAGCTACTGGCGTAACATTTAGACAGATAGACAGATATACATAAAATATGAATATAAATGATAGCCTATGTTCTGATGTATAAACTATATTATTGTAAAGTTTCAATAAAATCCATTCAGTACTTTTTGTGTGAAAGTACTGAATGGATTTTATTGAAAGAAGTGTGTTCTATACATACATACAAACTTTCGCCTTTATAATATTAATAAGGATATTCTAAATGGTTACGTTTTAATAGTGATAGTGATCTTTATCGTCCGAATAAAAATCACTACATAGTATAAGATAAAGCCTTCGCGCTGTCTGTCTGTCCCTATGTATGCTTAGATTTTTAAAACTACGCGACTGATCTTGATGCGGTTTTTTTTACTAGATAGAGTGATTCAAGAGGAAGGTTTATATGTATAATAACATTGCACCCGTGCCAAGCCGGGGCGCGGGTCGCTAGTATTTAATGTTTAAAAAACACGTGCATAGAAATTTTAATGGTCATATCGAGTAATAACAGTGAACGCTTTGAATAGCGACCACTACATTTATCCAAATGTTTGTGTTCACACTAGGTGCACAGATATTGAAATTGATAATAGAAATATTAATAAAATCTTAAATATTACGTTTGCTGTTTATGCTGGATTCCTCAAAGATAACGTAGCAAGGCATAATTGAAATATTTTTTCTTTTGTTAAATAATTTGAATTTGGAAACCACTCATTACATTCAAACAAACCTGTCCCCTTAATAATATTAGAATCGATTTCAGACGTTTGGAAAACCTAGGGTTCCATAGTCACTACTGGACTATGAGGTCGAGTACATTCCATGCCTTACTAGTGCCATTAGTCAATCACAAGACTTGGTGAACAGGGACGGAAGTGCAGTAAAAGTGAAGTAAAAGGGAACCGGAAGCTAGGGAAGCGCGCGCTATTTGATTTGGCCAATGAGCGCCG